AAGCCACTGCCTTCAGCGCACATGGGCCACCTACTCTCAGGGCCGAGCCCAGCAACAGTGAATGCATGGATGTCCACCCAGGACCCAGCCAGGTCACTTGCTCTGCCGGTCACAATCCATGCCTAATCCAGCAACGCAAGCACACCCAGCAGACCTGCTCTGTACACCCTTGTATCTCTTTCCTGCCAAATCTCATGCAGACCACTATTCTAGTTCTGTGCTTGCACACCATGGACACCAACATCTACAAGCATTTACTCAGCACTTAGGAGATCTTTGGCTCTCCTTCCCTCTGCAATCTGTCTTTCCAATAAAACTCACTGCACCACAACATCAGCCCCTATTAATTCACTATTAATGTTTCGATTCTCACAACTCTGTGTGAGGTACTATTATCATCCTCATTTTATTTTTTTATAAAGATTTATTTCTTATTTGAAAGGTAGAGTTACAGAGAAAGAAAACGAGACAGAGAGAATTTCTTTTAAGATTTATTTTATTTTTATTGAAAAGGCAGGAGGAGAGACAGAGAGAAAGATCTTCCATCCAATGATTCACTCCCCAAGTGAGTGCAACGGCCGATGCTATGTCAATCTGAAGCCAGGAGCCTCCTCCGGGTCTCCCACGCGGGTGCAGGGTCCCAAAGCTTTGGGCTGTACTTGACTGCTTTCCCGGGCCACAGGCAGGGAGCTGGATGGGAAGCAGGGCTGCCGGGATTAGAACCAGCGCCCATATCGGATCCCGGGTATTCAAGGCGAGGACCTTAACCACTGCGCCATCGCGCTAGGCCCGACAGAGAGAATTTCAATCCATTCCTCAGATGGCCACCAAGGCCAGAGCTGAACTGATCTGAAGGCAAGAGCTTCTTCGGAGTCTCTCCTGTGGGTGCAGGGGCCCAAGGCCCTGGTGCTTTCCCAGATCATAAGCAAAGAGGTGGATTGAAAGCAAAGCAGCTGGTGCATAAACCAGTGACACAAATCATCCTCGTTTTGCAAAACAAAACAAAACAAAAACTATGGCCATGTAACTCATTGAAAAAGATGTACAACTGCATTAGCTTCATTTTGCAAATTAATTAATTTTCATTTTATTTGGAAAACAGAGAGATGAATCCTGCATCTGCTGGTTCTATCCTCCAATTCTCTCAACAGCCAGCGCTAAGCCAAAGCCACAAGCACAGACTCCTTCCAGGGCTGCCACACGGGTGGCAGGGGCCCATGCTCAAGAATGCGCATCAGAAGGAAGCTAGGCCAGCAGTGGAGCAACCAGAACTCAACAAGGCACTCCCACAGGGGATGTATGCACCTCAACTGCACTGCCAAACACCCACCCCTAGTCTCACTTCAAATGACAGCAAGCTCTGATGGGCACTGCGCAAAGATTATTCCTCAGGACCCAGTGCGTGGCCTAGTGGCTAAACTCCTTGAACACGCCGGGATCCCATATGGGAGCTGGTTCTAATCCTGGCAGCTCCACTTCCCATCCAGCTCCCTGCCTGTGGCGTTGGAAAGCAGTCAAGGACAGCCCAAAGGCTTGGGACCCTGCAAGCACTTGGGAGACCTGGAAGAGTTCCTGGCTCTTGGCTTCTGATCAGCTCAACGTCAACTGTTGTGGTCACTTGGGGAGTGAATCATTGGACGGAAGATCTTCCTCTCTGTATATCTGACTTTGCAATAAAAATAGAAAAAATCTTAAAAAAAAAAATTCCTCAAAAACTCCGATTTTCTGCTATAACAGACACAACCCTTCCAACTGCCTAGTAGCTAGCTACCTCTGACTGCTCCTCCACCTTTTTCACAGCTGCAAGGCAGGACTCTGCCTGTTGGAGTCAACTCCTCCAGTTCCTGACTTCACCCAGCTTCCATGTGGAGGGCTCTGCTGTCCCCTCTCCCATAACCCCAGTCCCCACCTCTATTTTCACTTGATCCTGGCACCATGGATGTTTCCTAAAAGCCTTCTCTGGATCCACTTCAAGTCTTTGTGTCACAGCCAAACTCCACAAACCTACCCATGTTCTTTGTTTAACTCATGCTACCACAGCCCTGCAAATGCCCTTGTCAGGCCATTTCTGGAGCCAGTTCAAGGCTCTCAGTACCACAGTCTTCTGGTATCACCTCTCCTGTACCCTCTCCAGGCCTGGGAGCACACAGGGCTGTGCCGGGGCCTTCTCCTCCTCTACCCACACTTACATTGTATCCTTTCTTCAAGCCATGGGTTGCCATGGCCATGCCCTCCCCCACCTTCCTGGGCTGTAGCGCCCACCCCGCCCTTAGCCCCACACTGCCTATGTGATGCACTGAGATGTGTTCCAGTCCCTGTTTCTGTCCCAATTCCCTCCTCTGGGTGGACTGTTCCCTACCTACCAGCTGTGAAACCCAAGCCATCATTGTCTTGACTTCTTCGTTTTCAGCACCGTCCCAGCCAATGGGCCTCCAAAGACACCCCAAATCCATCCATGCCTCTCCTGCCATCACCCTTACCCAACGCACCCTCACCTCTCACCTGGACCTTGATAAAGGTACCCTAGGAAATGCCCTGATCTCGCTCTTGCCCCGCAACACAGTACCTACTCCTCGGTGCCACAGCTCTTCTGATACTTCCCAAATGGCTCCCACTCCTTAATGTGGTCGCCCCTTCTTACCCACTTTCCTCCTCACCAGCTTCAGTCCAGCTTCACTGGTGTGCTTCTGGTTCTTTAATCACACCATTTTTCCGCTGCTCAGTACTCCTGGGTCTCACTGCCTCTTCCTGGAAGGCCTGCCCCAGGCTCATCCCCCACCCAAACATTTACCTCACAGCAATTTAAAAACAAATTTTGTCGGGCCCAGCAGCTAAAGTCCTTGCCTTGAACACACCAGGATCCCATATGGGCCCAGGTTCTAATCCCAGCAGCTGCACTTCCCATCCAGCTCCCTGCTTGTGGCCTGGGAAAGCAGTCAAGAACGGCCAAAATCCTTGGGACGCTGCACCCATGTGGGAGACCTGGAAGATGCTCCTGACTCCTAGCTTCAGATCGGCGCAGCACTGGCTGTTGCGCTCACTGTGATGGAAAGGAAGATCTTCCATCTGATGATTCACTCCCCAAGTGAGTGCAACGGCCGGTCCAAAGCCATAATCCAGGAACTTCTTCCGGATCTCCCACATGGGTGCAGGGTCCCAAAGCGCTCACAGGGGATCTGAGCACTTGGGGAGTGACTCATCAGACGGAAGATCTTCCTCTCTGTATATCTGACTTTCCAATAAAAATAAGGAACTCTGCACCCGCATGGGAGACCCGGAAGAGCTCCTGGCTCCTGGCTTCAGATGGGCTCAGCTCCAGCCATTGCAGTCACTTGGGGAGTGAATCATCGGACGGAGAATCTTTCTCTCTGTCTCTCCTCCTCTCTGTATAGCTGTCTTTGTAATAAAAATAAATAAATCTTTAAAAACAAAAACAAATTTTGTGGGGGAGTGGGAAGATCTGATTGGTTTATCTGTTATCTCTTCCTCACCTCCCCCAAGAAAGCCAACAGTTCTTTTCTCACTTCACTAACACAATGACCATCAAACTAGCAACCATTCAACAGGTCTCCATAAATAAATACTGGCAAGGGGGGCGGGGGGGCAGGGCAATGGCTTAACAGGCTAATCCTTGGCCTTGCTTATGGCCTGGGATACAGATGACCCAAGTGCTCAGATCCCGTGACCCACATGAGATGCAGACAGAGCCAGGCTCCTGGCTTTGGCCTGGACCAACCTCCAACGTTGTGGCTATTTGGGGAGTGAACCAGAGGATGGAAGACCTCTGTTGCTCTAATTCTGCCTTTTAAATAGACAAGTAAATACCTCACTTAAAAAAAAAAAAAAAAAAAATAGGGCCTGGCGCGGTGGCGCAAGTGGTTAAAGGTCCTCGCCTTGCACGCCCGGGATCCCATATGGGCGCCGGTTCTAATCCCGGCAGCCCCGCTTCCCTTCCAGCTCCCTGCCTGTGGCCTGGGAAAGCAGCAGAGGACGGCCCAAAGCTTTGGGAACCTGCACCCACGTGGGAGACCCGGAAGAGGCTCCTGGCTTCGGATCGGCATAATATCGGCCCATTGCGCTCACTTGGGGAGTGAATCATCGAATGGAAGATCTTCCTCTCTGTCTCTCCTCTCTGTATATCCGCCTTTCCAATGAAAAAATAATAAAAATAAATCTTTAAAAAAAAAAAATTGTTTTTGGGGCCCGGCAGCGTGGACTAGCAGCTAAAGTCCTCACTTTGAACGTGCTGGGATCCCATATGGGCGCCGGTTCTAATCCTGACAGCTCCACTGCCCATCCAGCTCCCTGCTTGTGGCCTGGGAAAGCAGTCGAGGACGGCCCAAAACTTTGGGACCCTGCACCCATGTGGGAGACCCGGAAGAAGTTCCTGGATTATGGCTTTGGACTGGCCGTTGCACTCACTTGGGGAGTGAATCATCAGACGGAAGATTTTCCTTTCCATCTCTCTTCCTCTCTGTATATCTGACTTTGTAAAGAAAATAAATAAATCTTTTAAAAAATTGTTTTTATTTGTAAAACGGATTTTACAGAGAGGAGAGACAAGAAAAGAAAATGCTGAGGGCTGACACAATGGCATAGTAAGCTAGCCCTCCATCTATGGCACTAACATCACGGGCACCAATTCAGGTCCTGGCTGCTCTGCTTCCCATCCAGCTCTCTGCTAATGGCCTGGGAAAGAAGCAGAGGATGGCTTAAGTGCCTGGGCCTGCACCCACTTGTGAGAGCCAGAGGAAGCTCCCAGCTCCCAGTTTTGGACTGGCCCAGCTTTGGCCATCATAGCCACTTGGGGAGTAAACCAGTGGATGTAAAATCTCTCTTTGATCTTCAAGTAAAAGAAACAAACCTTTAACAAAACAAATAATAAAGTGGTGCGGGTGGCAATTCCCAGGGAAGGAAATCCTCACCTCTGAGAAGCCTGTGGTCTACACTTTCTCCCTCTCCGGGGAGGACGGCTGAATGCAGCGGGACAAGCCCCTTACCATTTCTGTGCATGCCATCTGCTCCCCCTCATTGTACAGTTCCTCGGGCAGGTTGTAAATCCGCAGGATGTTGTCAGCGCTGTTGGTCAAGATGCAGGAGCCGTCGGGAGCCCTGAAAACATTCAGGAGTCAGAATCCTGGCCGGGGAGGGAAGGCATTGAAGGACGCCAAAACCCAGATAAAATGCAAGCTCCCTCCTGAAAGGGCTCCTCACCCAGGCTGTTTTCCGGTGAAAACCTTCCGGTCCACTCCCCCCACTCACCACTTGCAGCCCTTCAAGAAGTTCTCCGGCTGGGCGCAGAACTCGGACCAGGAGCCACTAAGATACCGAGGGGCCTTGGAAAAGTTGTAGCTCCAAACGCTGCAAGGAACACGGAGGGTCAACTTCCCTGGGAGCAGGAGCCGCTGACACTGGCCCTCGCCTCGGACGCCCACCGGCGCCACTTACACTTCTCCCTCATCCTCTGCAGCCGCTTCCTCCTCTGCCCCGGCTTCTCCAGGCTCCAACTCGGGCCCGTCTGCAACTTCGGCAGGGAGCCTCTCATTTCCACAAAGTTCTGACTCCCCTACCGAAGGTCCCAACTCAGGATCAAACTCAGCTTCCAGGGCGGAGAGACAAGCGAGGTCTGCTTCATCCAGCTGCTGGCTCGGGGACCCCAGGGCCGGATCGCTGGCTCCGGCTGGCGGGTCGGTGCTTTCATCCACCGGGGAAGCCCGTGGGGAGAGCCCGCTGGGAGCCGGGGCCTGGTCTGAAGCTCCGGGTTCCTCCCGCTCCGTCTCCATCTCGCCGCAGCAGCGCGGCGGGCATCGGCCTCAGCGCCGAGCAGCACTCCCCGGAGGATCCCACCCGTGCCCGCCTTCCCTCTCCTGCAGGAAGGCGAGTGGAACAGGTGCGGAAACAGGAGCGCGGCGTCTCTTAGCACCGCGGGTCGCAGCGCGCCCCTGGCTCTCGCGGGATTTGGGCCCACCGTCCCTCCGATTGGACCTCCGCACTCCCGCGAGCGGATTTCGCGGGAGACCCGTGCACGGGCTGAGGCGGGGCCCGCACAGCGGTTCCCGTCGGGCCTTGGAGCTCCCGAGGGCCTCTGGGAGTTGTAGTCTACACGCGTCTTGCCTGGACGAGCCAGGGGTCAGGGCTCCCCCTGCTGTCGCCCGCGATCATTACCAGCCTAGACCTGCAGGGACGCCTGATCTGACAGGCTTATTTTCATCTCAACCTTCTGTCTCTCTCCATTCATTCGACAAATATTTATTACGAAGGCACTGGGGAATGCAATCATGATGGCAGGGCCAATTATCTGCCCTCAGGAAGGTTTCATTGCTGTGTGTGGAAGATTATGACTCAATGAGTGATAAGGGCTGTGGGAGGACTGAAACAAGACGAAGCGACATCTTAGGATCTGGGAATACATAATTGGGATAGGCAGGCAAGCCGTTCTAAAAGGAGGAGAAGAAACCGTCTAAGCTCTCTAAAAGGGCCGTGTTCCGGGGCAAAAAGGAGGGGTGTCACTACGAGAACTTTCTGTCTTCCACCTTCTATCTTGCCTACAGCAGCCGCAGTCCTCAGAACGGTGTCCACCATGGCTGCCCTCACAGCTCTGGCTCGCAGAACTTTGCCACGATCCAATCCTGTTAGCAGCTTACAGCACCCGAGGCAGCAAGAGTCCCCAGCCTCCCGGAACACACCCTCCATTTCCTTCGGCCTCGGCCGGCCGCAGGCCAGCGACTTGCCCTCACTTGTCATGGCGACCGTCCAGCTTTGCGCCAGGAACCTCGTGGGGGCTGATGGGATTGGGACTTTCCCCTCCCACGTGCTCAGACCCGCTCAAAGTTTGGAGCGCTTCAAAAAGTCCGGGTACACCATCCTGGGCAGGGACTCGCTTGGGGGCTCCGTGGAGCGGGGGGCTGTAGGCGTCCGTGGCCGGAGCGTGCTTCCCGGGACGGTGAGACGCTCTCCCGAGGCTTGGGTAAGCGCTGGCCCGGGGCTGCTGCGTCCTTTCTGAGTCAGGAGCCCTGGGTTCCTTGTGCGTTCCATGTAGGGGTGCTGCTGGGGGTTGGGCGATGGGAGTGATGGGGGTTAGGTGGGCAGGAGAAAAGCCGACTGGACGGGCGAACGTGGGAAATGCCGCGTTGGGAGGCCTGGGTGCAGTGGGTGCAGAGGCTTAGCACCTGCGCTACTCAGACTTGGTCAGGGGAGTGGAGCTTTTGGGAGAGACCTGGAGCCAGCTTGAGGTTTATTGCTTCGCCCCCCGCCCTTTCCTCCCCTACGCCCCAGCGTGGGGCGGGGAGTCCCTGAAATAAAGTGTAGGACCCATGGGGGGGGGGTGCTGAGGTTTGTATAGCTCAAGACACCGAACCCACGGCTGCAGATTCTGGGGTAGGGGTCCGCGGCTGGAGGTGCTGGGGGAGGGGGTCCGCGGCTGGAGGTGCTGGGGGAGGGGTCCGCGGCATCGCGGGGAAAGCTCGGGCTGCGTCCTGAGCAGATTCCCGGGGTACCCCAACTTCCGGACCTTTGTCCTGCCCGGAGGGGACCTCCCTGCCGCCCCCGGCTCTGCTAAATGGAGACGAGCCGATTCGGGATTGCCAGCCGCGGGCGCGCGAGGCCCGGGGAGACCGCCCGGGGGCTCGGCAGCCCTGTTATTGTTTGGCTCCACATTTACATTTCTGCCGCCTGCCGCAGCATTTCCGGCTTTTTGGGGGGAGGGGCGGAGCCGGCCACAGCTCACTGGTGAGAGGGGAGGAGTGAGGGAGAGAAATTTGTCTTTTAGACTGGTTTCTACTACTTGCGGAAGGAAGCGTCTGTCTTCTCGGGCATTTTCGTCCCCTGGATGACTTGGCAGTGGCTTTGGCTGAGGAAGGGGTGTTTGTTTTGAATGCTCACCTCAGTCCCTCCCCCGTCTCTGAATGGTGTGCTCCACCCCTCCGGTCTGCTGCAGTTGAGGTGGACGCTACCATTCCGTGGGACGGGGTGAGAGGGCGAAGAAGTGCAAACGGCAAAACCAGATCTTTTCGGAAATGGGTCCGTTGGAGAGTGGGATTTGGAAAGAGTGCAACGACAAGTCGTTTAGTCTATGAAGGGAAAAACACTTTCTCCAGTATCCGGTTCTCGGCTGAGCCAAACCAAGTCCAAACGCAAGCCGAACGTCCCGAGAGCGGAAGGGGCGGATCTGAGCGAGGGGCAGGCCCGAGGTCCTGGGCGGCTGGAACCCGGCCGGGGTGGCCAGCGGGTGGCCGGGGGGAGGCGGCGGGTCCGACTGGGGCCAGGCCTCAGGCTTCGTCCTTATCCTGCTGGGCTTGCCACGCACCTGCTGTGTTCCAGGCACTGAGCGCCCTGGTGAGAGGCGCTCTATTTTTATGGAAGCTGCAATGTTTCCCGTTTCCCTCGGTGGCTTGCACCATTTCAGTCTATGAAATGCAGTCTGTTCTGCAAGTAGGATCCGTTAGGAGAGATAGAAATTCTCGTGTGTTATGAAGTATAGGAGGCACGCAGTGTGTGGGACTTTGAAGGGACAGGGGTGTGAGCGTTCAGGGGAGGGAAGCTTGTGGGCTGGAGCTGGACGGCAGTTGCTGCCTTGCTATGCAACAGGCACTAACCAACTGGTCATATCCCAAAGACTCAGGCCTGTTCTCCCTCACAGCACCCTTGTTTATTCCTGCTTCCGTTACTATTCCTTAGTTGTGCTTGTTGGAAAGCTTCAATTAAGCAATCAGACAATATAAAATAGTAAAATCTGTCCGTGTGTTGGAAAGGTAAGGCATCACTAGAGATCTTCCAACTGGTAGCTCACTCCCCAGATGCCGGCAGCAGCCAAGACTGGGAGAGTGGGGAGTGCAGGGGCTAGGAACTTCCTCCTGGTCTTCCACGGGGTGGCAGGGGCCCAGGCACGTGGGCCATCATCATCGTCCTTCCCGGCATGTTAGCAGGAACATGAATCAGAAGTGGAGCAGCCAGGACTCGTATCTACATTCCCTTATGGGATTCAAGTTCATGACTTAACTTGCTGTGCGAAAGCACCACCCCATCTGTGGTCACTGTCCAAAGTCTCACCTCCAGCATAAAGTCTGAGAAACTCATCCGTGTTGTCGATGTGTCAGTGCTTTTCAACTTGGTGTTCCCTTGTCCTCCAACCCTGCATAAAACTATACCAAAATCTAGATGTTCAAGGTTTTTTGGTTTGTTTTTTTAACAATATAGTGTTTGCAAGTAACCTAGGCACATTTTCGTAAGGTTTACAGTATCTTCAGTTACTCACATCCCTAGAGAATGTGAAAGCCTTGGACGTTGTTACTGTACTGCCTCACTTAGGGAACATCCACCCTGTGGTCAGAATATCCCCACCACCTGCCTGCTGCAAAGGGTCCACAAGGTAACATTACTTTGTTTCAATACCATATCTGCAAAAGTATAATATGTTTTAGCAAATTAACCTGGTCATATGTCAAAATAATTCCTACCTTCTGACCAAGCAGGGCGTAACCCAGGATTGCAGTATTGGTTGAACATTTTTAAATGAATGTATGTCATTTACCACATTGATAGATTAAAATATAAGGGTCTCAAGATCCTTTCAACAGATGCAGGAAAAACAGTAGTTTTCAGATTTCTGATCCCGGCAGCCCTGCTTGTGGTCTGGGAAAGCAATCAAGGACAACCCAAAGCCTTGGGACCCTGCCACCTGCATGGGAGACCTGGAAGAGGCTCCTGGCTTCAGACTGACTCAGCTCCAGCTGTTGCTGCCGCTTGGGGAGTGAATCAACAGATGGGAAGATCTCCTCTTCTCTGTATATCTGACTTTACAATAAAATTAAATAAATCTTTTAAGAGACGATCATTTTAAATGGAAGAAATAAAACTCTTGGTTGAATACATTGTAGATCCCACCAGAGGCCAGCTCTGTGGCACAGCTGGTAAGGCCATCGCTTGCAACGACTCCCCTATTGAGTGCCCCATCCAATGCAAGATGGTCAAACAATTTTTCTACAAAGATGCCTAAATAAACTTAAAAAGAAAGGAAAGTCAATAGAAGGTGCTAGAACACCTAAAGGAGAATGACCCATGATCTCGGTTTAACACCCATAAAAACACAATACTTAATTTGAGATGCATAACATTCTAAAACGTTAAAGCTTTCAGGTGAGAGCAGTGTTGACTATCAGCAAGGCTGAATGATCGTACATGGTTAATGCTTAATATTGTGTTTATCTATTTGAAAGGTGGATTAAGATATTTTCCATCCACTGGTTTACACCCCCCCCTTTGGCCCCCCCAGATAGCCACAACAATTGGGTCTGGGTCTCCCACGTGGTTGCAGAGGCCCCAGGTACTGGGCCATCTTCTGCTGCTTTCTCAAGGTTAACAGGGAGCTGGCTCAGAAACAGCAAGCCTGAAATCAGATTCCCCTTCTGTCGCCATCGGTGGCTTAACGCACTAACCCACAACACTTGCCCCCATTTTGTGATCCTTCATTGATCGAGCTAAAGTCCCTTTGGTTTTCACTCCTAGCCCCATGAACATGTTTCCTATCCCAGCTCAGCGACCACAGGCTTTTATGAATTTTTAATTCTTAACCATCCTCACACTTTCACATCCATACATGTCTAAGCAATAAATGATTCCGTGTCTTTTTCATTCGTCTAAGCTGTTTGCCTCCGTTAGTGTGTTTTGCCTTTTCCTGCACCTTGCTTGGACACACCTTGGGCAACTGCTCCCCACCCAAGGATCCCATGGTGTTTCTTGTCACTTAACAATCAAGTGATTTTCATTGACGTTTTCCTGGCACACTCAAGGAACTCCTGTCAGAACATAATTATTTAGAGTTTGAGTGTGTCCTCAGTCGAGTTGAGAACTCCTGTCACTGGAGAACTTTAGGAGCTGGGTAACTGGCTTCAAGGCCTTGAAATCTCATTTCCCATATCTGTTTGTCATACCAGCTTTGCTTTTTTTTTTTTTTTTTAAGATTT